GCATCACTGAAGCTGCGAGTGTGTCCAATAGTGCTGGGTGCGAGGCTGGCAGGTTTAGAAACGGGAGAGCTTGGAGTTGTGCTGGTGCCGGGAAGCTTTGAGGGACCAGATGGAGGAGTATCCAGATCCAGCATACTTCGAATCTTGGGTGGGGGAGGGGACGTGGTGTCCAGCATGCTTCGCACGGCTTGGCGAGGAGAGCTCGGAGCGGCCTGCTCATCGATATCCAGCATGCTTCGAACGGGCGATCGCGGGGTAGCATAAGGAGAAGCGGATCGCATTCGGTCTTGGGAAGTCTGAGAATGCTGCGGATTTCCGAGCAGCGCAAGAACCTCCTGCCGCTCCATGTCGAGCATGGCCTCTATGCTCATGGGCTGTTGGTTCCGCGACATGATGGTGGTTGGTTGGTAGCACCGCAGTTGGGTTAATACTGGTCTGGTAGATTGCTGAAGTTGGGAGTAGATGCGCAAGCGAAAAAAGGCCAAGTCGTAGTATCGATTGACGACAGAAACCAGACGTGTAGCAACAAGGAGAGGCTACAGACTCTGTACCGAAAAGATTTGGGAATGCGCACACACCGCGACAGTTTAGCGGGGGAATTTGTGCAAGGAGCGCTGGGGTGTCGATGTAGGCCAAGAGAGCATTGCGCGGTGGCTGATAGAGATGGACGATTCGCGTGGCCTGGAGCCTTTCAAAACATGCTGCTGCAGCTCAACAGCGTTGACAATCCTCGGTCAAAGTAGATATTGGGACGCGGTGAAAGATGTTGTCGGGTTTCGGGGGCCGTACGTCAGAGCGACTCGGTGAAGTAGCCCGGTTGGTGGAGGTGGGAGGTAGGGTTTCCCTTTCTCGGATTCAGCAAGGTCGCGGGGGGAGGATCGAGCGATGGGGGTAGAGGAAAAAAAACCAGAGCTGAAAGAGAAATAGCCGGGTTGACGTGGCGAGAAGATCGTGTGACTGTCTACAGATTTGCTTGTTTGGGTGACAGATGAAGAATAAGAAGAGGAGAGAGTTGACGTGGAGGGATCCAGGTTCCGGGGAAAGAATGCAGATGGGAGACGAGACGTGCTGCGTAACTTGGGGCGTGGAGTCGAGTCGAGAACGGTTCGAGGCAAGAGCGACTGTCTGCCCGGTGGCTGTGGCCGCCCAAACCGCCCAAAAGCACCTGGGCACCCACACGCACAGGGACGGAGAACGGAGCGGAGTGCAGTCAGTGGCAGTGGGGAAGGAGGGGCATGGACTTGGTTGATGGGAATGTCCTGTGTTTCTGGTCCTGACTCGCCCTTCTCCTCAGGAGCTGGCATTGCTCTTTACGGTAATGATGCGCGTAAGCATCGGTTAAGGTGTTTTGGAGTGGCACACCGTCATTACTTTGCGGAGTGAGTTTAATTCTAGGTTGCTCAGAAACCCAACTTGATAGCATTTTATTACAACTCTATTATTTTCTTTTCCTTGCCAGCCTAAGAAAAAAGTCTTTTCATCATCTGTTGGTGGCCTCCGACTCCGTCTTCAGCCCTGGCCCGAGCTCATCGAGTGATTGTGTCGTCATGTGAAAGCATCGTCTGCGCCGCTTGTAGATTATCGGTTTCGTCATTGGACAATGGCTTCCTCGTCCGTGTTTGCCCCGACACCTTCGGTAGTTTTGAATCTAGGGCTTTTTGGAATTAGATATCCGTAGCTTTTTGCACCATTGATGGACTTCAAGGTCATTCACATATATCCTTGTCTGCTGAATCTCGGCAAACAAGGCTCTTCTCGAACGCCGTTTAAACAAGATTCGTTTGACAAGCTCCGAAACCTTCCGTTCCAGGATCTAATTCCGAAACCTTTTACACAAGGACTCACCCCATTGCTGAAACATAGATCAGATCAGAACATCCATCTTGTTTAATTCTAACTGTCACGAGACCTGCATAGCTCTCCACATTATTGCTCCCAGAAGAAAATGCGTGTCGCTCGTGAGTCAGCCATTGCCGTCGTTGTCTGCTCCTCCGCATCCGCAACCTCGGAAGCGTTTAATGCTCCCTCCCCCGAGCTCCTCCGATCGCATCCATTCCCGCCAGCATAGCGTTGCCAAGTGCATGAACGCATCCTTTCGGCTCTTTGCATGGAACAGTGCTATGCTCCGGCCCGGATAAGGGTTTCTCCAAGGTAAACATCGGTTGGACGTGCTGGGCCTATCCCTCATGATACATAGCATCAAGTGGTGTAAGTGAATAGGCATGCACCACGCAAGAGCCGCTCAAGTGGTCTGCCAGCGCAGAAAGACGAGTCTTTGCGTCAAAGGCTGGATATGTTACATATTTGGCACATCTACTGTACAACCTAAATAGGGCGGTTACTCCAAAACTGTGCCCGCTCTACATTTTCTTCTTCGTCTTGAGTTTGTTGGACCCAATGTTGGCTCGGGCTGCCGTGCCCAGCTTGTGCACCACCTTTCGCTTCTCCCACACGCTCGACCGTCCCTCCACGACAGCAATGATCTCCTCTGCTATCCGGTGGGGGAACTGCTTGCGTCCGCTGCCCTTGGAGGGCTTCTTGTTGATCACATCCAGGATCCAGTTGAAGGCGACACGTCGTCGTTGTCGCACGCCAAGGGGCACTGGAAGTTCCAGAGCTCGGCCACCACCGCCGGCACCCGCCACGTTGCGGATCTTGAGGAGAGGTGCCACCGAGTCAATGGCCACAGTAATGTACAGGATCGGGTTGAGGGGGAGGTGTTCAGCCGGAGGGGTTCCGGGTAGGAGGGGAAATTTCGGGCTGTAGATCGGAGGTGGTGCGGTTCGGAGGTTGTTCATGACTGTTGCCATGTTCTAGTTTGATTGTTAGCCGTGTCGCCGACCAAGCCCTTTCATGGTGTAAACCTACCCGCTGTGCAACGCTCAGCTTGCCATCCCGCATCAACAGGCGGGTGATCTGCTCAAGCACAGGATGGTATCGCTTCTTCAAGTTGAAGCCTTGTGGCCACGGCCTCTGGGGCAGGCCAAACTTGTGTCCAGGATTCTCAACCTCGGTGTCGGCTTGGGTCAAGTGGGCATTCTCAGCTGCAGCAACGAGAGCTTCCGCCTTCTCGGCTGAGGGGATGGTGCCCTCCTGGTAGAGAATATGCTCCTGGGCCGGGGTCAATCCGCCCTCAATTGAGCTAGATACCGTACGGCCGCCGTAGAATAGCTGTTCGAGAGTCGCATCGTCCAAGACTTCTTCGGAGCTGGTCAAACCAGTAGTCTGCAATGTCCCACCATCAGTTGCCAAGACCGATATATCGTCTCAATTCAATTCCTACCTCGGCGTCTTCCTTCCCTGTCGAGGCCTCGGAGGCACTGGCATCCTGCGAAATAGGCTCGGATTGGGACTCGTCGGGTTTCGGGGCGTTGTCAATCGCTTTCGGGGGCTTGTCGTTCCCCTCGTTCGAGTACCACCGGTTCTGGGGAAGAGTGTTGGCGAACGGCCCAGGCCGGGGGGTAGCAGGCCTCGATCGAACTGCGAGAGCTCTGCATGCGCCCCAAACCCTTGATCTTGGAGACATGGCTGAGCTCCGCGTTGCTAGCAACGAATTCGTGGAGCAAGGTACTATACAGGCTCGTGGCTCTGGTGATGAATGGGCAAATTCGCGATGCAAAATTCCCCGTCGAGGTGTGCGGAAAATCAATAATCCGGGCACTGTCGTTGGTAGCTTACATAACTTTCCTGGACCACCACGACCCCAAGCATTGACGACAAGGAGGAGGAAAGCTTGGATATTTACGGGTATTTGCGAGGAAAGACTGGGGCAATACGATAAATAGTCGGATATAGTATATCTTCGGAGAGTTAAACTCTTGGCTAGAGCAATGACCTATGTGAACTCGAGCTATACTTCCATCTGCCTAGTAGCTCCCATATGCCGTCCATAACCACATCATTCCCTAACGCCCATACTATTGAGATCCAGCAAAGCCTATCTAGTACCTAGAAGCTAGATTTCCACTCGCTTTTCACATTTACTTAGTTTCATATGTAATTCTAGAGGTTTTCTCAACGTCGCCAAGACTTACTTATCTTCTACACGCCTGTCTCACTGACACTCAACCACACCATGCCCCGACTGCATCCAAGCGTCAGAATAAATGCTTTTTCTTCAAATGATCGTCGTCAAGTACCGAATCGCCGTAACCGGAGACCGTGGCAATTGGGGGTGCCATCACCTAATCGCTTCAACTGCAGCTTCATGTGATCAACTGTGCTCACTTCCACCCCAATCAGCCGTGGCTGCACCGAGGGTGGGGGTTCAACGACATTCTGATAGTAACCATACACTCCTCTTGAGTTACCTACCCAGGTCCTTGTCATTGCGCTGACAATGGAGGCTGACCATGATAAGAGGTTGATGGAGGTGTTTCCCCGCTCATCAAAAGTTGCTTCATTTCGCCTTCTCACACCACTGATGCAACCTTGCGTCCGTCTTGATGCCAAACAATCCTGTTTCCATGTCTGTTTGTCACCATGCTTCCTCAAACAATGCAAGCCCCAGTTCAAATTCCCGGTATCGCACAGTCGATTTTGCCTAACTCCTCGGAAACCTGCGTTCAGCAGGCCTCAAATTTCGAACCCTAAGCAACTAACCCTCCTGAGTAAAAGAAAACCAAATGCCGCCGACTAAATCCAACACGCCCATATCGCACCAAGTGCTGCAAGAAATGCCGTTGCATCGATGTACACCAGGCCATGTTCGAGCATCCATAAAATACAACTCGCAGCCGACGAGAAGACCCCCTCCTGGATCTGCCGGCTGCGTAGTACCCATCCCTTTTCGTTTTGCTTGGTTCCAGTTCCAAACTCCTGTTACATACTTCGCCAGAGCAGCAAACACGATTCAGCAAAACAATATCGCCAAAACCCAGACCCAAGCGCAAAAAGATAACTCCCCCAGTCGTGAATAGAGAAGAGCCCAACCATCCTGGTTTGTAGGTTGGATTGCTGCACAGTCGGTTGAGCTTGTGAGCAGTGCCCTCATCAAGTGTCTACCAGTTCCAGGATTGAGTGGGAGAATTGGTATTCGACCCAGTCAACCACTTGACAGCACACTCGGCGGCGTCCTCTCTTGCGTTGTTGAGGTTCTTGCCGTCATACCAGTACCGAGCATTAAGTGTCTTGCCGTGAACCGTGACCCTACTTGACCAAGCAGTACGACCGCCTTCAGATTCAAGTTAGTGACCATTAGTCGGGTTAAGTCAAATACAGGGAACTTACCTCGACGATCTGACACAATCTGGAAAACGGGGGGACGCAACTGAGCATCACGGCAGAAATCTAGAAGAGTTTAGTTCAGAAACCCCGTGAATTGGTGGTTGAGGGGAGGACATACGGTCGAGCTGGTCCTGCCAGGGGCCGGTGGGGTTGATGGGTTGAACTTCCATTGTTGCTGGGTAGAGAACGGAAAGGTAGACAGAAGAAGCCAAGCGGGAACCTTGGTTATTATGTCAAGGCCTTTGAAGGGTGGGAATTCAGGCGTGTGGATGCTGAGGTAGATAGCAAGATGCTAGCGGTAGAAATGGAAGGTCTCCGGTGCCGAGTGTTGGGGGATATAATTGAAGCTGCTGATTGAGTTTGAAGATTATAATGGGTGCGGGTGATGGGTTATATATCCAGTCGAGTTGAACTTGTTTGTAGCAACGTGTTTGGGAGACGCCGGGTGTGTGGGGTCCTAGGGATATGACAATGACGATAGAAACCCTGGTAGAGACAGCCAAGGTTTGGTAGCCAACTGGGCGTGGTATATCCGAGGAAGCCTCAAGGTAAGACGAAGGCAAGCAAATAGGGCGGGCCCAGGTTGTCGGGCGGATGATGTGGCAGAAGAGGATTAGATGCCGTCAAACGGGGAGGGGGCGAAGCGGTGATGTGGACTTGACGCAGACACGGAGATGTTTGTGTGAAGTTGCAAGACGGCTAGAAGTTTGAAAGGTCTAGCGGCAGACTGCATCCAGGTAACAGGAAACCCAATCAATCTGAGAAGTTTACGAGAAGAGGATAGGAGAGAAGGGGAAGAGAGAAGGGAGGACGAGGTGAAATAGGACAAGGAAATAGGAGAATGTGAGCCACAACCAAGTGAGCCCAAGTCTCGACGGAGGCGTGGGAGGGATTGACAAGCGAATCCTCACAGAAGGAACGAAGTTTCTGCTGGCAAGCAAACTACGGCACAAGCCTACGTCGGTATCGGTACGGCCTGCGGCCCTGCAACATGGTAAACGGGGGGGGGGGGGGGCTCCAGCTCAACATTGCTTTTTCTGCCCCTTGAGGAGAGAGAGTGGGATCTGGCGCATCGGGTTAAGCTCACCAGCAGGGAAGCAAATCGACTCGGGAGTGACAGACAAGAGAAGGGCGGGTGTGAGCCGAGTTGCTTGGACCTCAGCGTGGGCCGTGCCGGGGCCGGTCAATCCCTAGCAAGGCGGCAACGGGTACGGGGACGGGGACGGAGACGGGAGCGGGTGAGGAGAGGCGATGTGCTGTTTGTGTTTGCGCAAGGATTCGGACATGGCCATCATGATGAGGCTCGACACGACAAGGACAGGCGAGCGTTTGTGAATCTGCGATTGAGTCCAGGACAGGCAGCAAGAGGGCCACGGCGTGCAGGTGCAGCAGCAAGCAGAAGCAAATGCAGAGGGAAAACCATGGGGGGGCGTGTACTCCAAGCCATCCCCAAGGGCGTCTGTGGATGTTGCTCGTGGCCGTGGAGCACTACCAAGTACAAGCGTGCAAGGGGACGGTTGATGGATGGAACCTAGATCACGAGGGCACATGCGGCAACAGACCTGCTAGAGGTTTGATTTGGAAAAGGCTGGACGATTCTGGCACGCTGGTGCAGCTCCGTCAGATGCGAAAAAGCAATGCCGGGGAGATGGTGCTCGATGGTGGATGCCGAGCCCAACTCGATCCTAGCAAGGTTTGGGGGCTACCAGCACATGAGGAGTGGCAGTACTGTAATTGAGGAGAAAAGAGAGAAAAAAAAACAAAGTGAGGCTGACCACAAAAGAATGAATGAGAAGCAAAAAGGAGCATGGGCACGAGGAATGAGGACAACGTGGGAGATGAACGATTCGTAATGTCCAAGAGAGGCGCCCCTTGGCTGCGACTCGAGGTGAAAAGAGAAGACAAGACAGAAGAGACAACTGACGGATGGATGCCCATCTCCCAGTCCATTGTAGCGGGTTCTGGGCAATGATGTGCAGGATGATGATGTGTCGTGCTTCTGACGATGCGATGTCGTACACGAACATCGACTGCAGACGTCTGCAGGCACAGGATCAGGATTAGGATCAGTATCAGGTACGGCCGAGGGAGAAATGAGGTTATTCGTGAGGCGTAGCGCAGCAGCAGCCCTGGATTTCAGGTCGAGATTACCATGGCCACGTCAAGCGAGCAGCTGAGGCGATGCCAGCTCAGGGCAGGCATTGACCCCCATGGCATGGAGCCCTGACAAGACCAGGGAGCACTCGGTCCCGTCCAGTTAGCACATGGCCGATTAGCCCAAAAAGCCATGATAGAAACCCTTGCTCTCAAACATGAACAAATGGGAACAGGGGGGAAATCGCTTGAAGATGTGGAGAGACAGAGCAGCGCCGCACAGAGAAGAGAAGAGCAGACCTGACCGACAAGGAGGCGAGAACTTGCAAGGGACTCCCTGTCCTCGAGACACGATTGGCCCTGTCGTCTCTCTTTTCTTCTTCTGGTCTCTCCTCGAAGTTGTCTCCTCCGCTGCGCATTTCTGGGATTGGGGGATCGCAAAATTTGGTGTCGTTTTTCTTTTTGATGTGGAGTCGACAAGATCATCTCGACTAGGATTTGGCGGCGAATCCCAGAAGACCATCCACTCACGAATGCCGGGAAGGAGCCCGGATCTGTGCGTGTGGGGGAGAGGGGAGAGCTCAGCGTGCACCGACCACCCGCTATCATGGGTTGGAAGGTGCTGGCTGGCTGGGTGCCTGCCCTGTTGCTACGTACTGTAACCCTCGCTGCTTGCCCTGAGCTGCCCTGGGCTAAGCCATTCAGGCGCTAAGGCAGGCCTGGCGATGACCGGCCTCTTCTTCTGATTAACTAACCTCCACCAGCTCCATGCTGTCGGCTTCAGACAAAGCAAAGCATCCTCAACACCTCGAATCTTCCCCAAGACTGGTAACAGGGTGGCGTTCCTAGGTGCGTCGCTACTGCTCCTGCTACTACCTAGGCCCGGGCCTTGAGCGTTCTGTCGATACCAAGATCCTGCGCTGCAGCCAACATCGGACCCAGAGGTGATGGGACGGATGCTGGGGTTTAGGAACCAGGGGTTAAACTCGGGAGTCCCAACCAACTAAATGTCGACCTCGCCAGTATCAACAATGGGCGTGAATGGGGGAGCGGACCCCGGCCAGGCCTCGGTATGATGAAGAGCTATGCGCGGTAGTTCAGGTGAGCTAGCCAGCCCTCGATGTCAAATACCCAGAGTTGCTGACTTGTGTTAAGCGCGTTTTGCGACTGATAATACGACCCTGACAGAATGATACCTTACGCAATCCCGTACCCATATCGCCGATGACCTCCAGGGTCCGCCTTACACGGAGCATGCTTTCACCAAGTCTGGTTGCCGAATAGAGTGGATCTGGACCTCAACTTGGGGACTTCTTGAACAGGGCTGGCTGGCCTGAATCTGCATTGAATCTGCTGGCGTCTGTCATGTACGGAGGCCTTGCCGCGGCAATCCGTTAGGCTGGACTGGGCCCAATACACCGCATGCCCCGGCTCGTGGTCGCTATTATCGCCGATGCTGGGCTCGTTGCTTTTTCCCGGCCGGCGTCGAGATTTTTTTTTTTTTCTCTTCCCCTTCTGTCCTCGCTCTTCTCTCGTTCGCTCTCCCGGCTGGTTGTTCAGGTCTGCCGGTCTGGCCTGCCGATCAATGACCAAGATCCCGGCTCGACACACATGTCCAGTTTGACTGAGAGCGTCACAGGCGCTTGATCCGCCGCTGTCAGAGCAAGCAACGTTGATCTTGCTTGCATCCAAGTCTGACATGACATAGTATTTGCATCCAATGTCCCAGTGTGTCGGGAGATGCCAGAGAGACCCGCAGCACCAAGGCACCGCCCAAGTCAATAACTGCCGAACCCACTACTTCCGCCTGCTCGGGATGCTGGGCCTCTTCCAGGTTTGGGGTCGAAGACAGGTCGGGCCCCTGCATGTGGCAGCCTGCTAGTCCTGTGCGTGCGGGTTGAAAAGTAGAGGCATGCTTGGCCGAAGGATGTCAGACGAATATATTGACTACAGATGCGGGCGTCTCTTGCACGCCGAGGTAAAAGCTGCTTGGCTGAGCCATGCACACAGTCTCGGTTTGCTCGGCACATCACAGCATCAGTCGGTTCCCACGAGCAAACTGGCAAGCATCGTCCGTCATCGCATCGAGCGTGCGTGAATGCACCTTCTTCAGACTGAAAAGTTCATGCCATCCTTGGCCGCCTTGGATATGCAAGCCGACGAGTTGTTACTATACACACCACGATAGCCTTCTTTTCTCATCCTCTTGTCTCCCGGACGTGAAAACAAGGCCAAAACGCTTCTGGAAACCGACAGATTGGTTATCAATCAACAGGACGAGCCGACCCGATTCAGGGTTACAGTTACATTACCCCATGCCCGCTTGGGCTTAGAATCAAACTCCAAGGCGAGCCATCGTCAGCCTTGGGCCCTGACCGGTCCGTCAACTCCCACCGAGACGAGACGACGTGGGAAGAGACCGGCCAAGGAGCTTCGTCATATTTCACCGTGGACGTCTCAGTGCAGGTTGGATCAGGGCATTCCGATCCACCGTGGACGCGCGCCAGATCAGCCATGCAGGACAAGGGATGCTTGATGGAAACCCCAAGCATCGCTGTCCATGCCCTGGCCAAACAGCAACTCCTTGGGTCGTGCTGCTCCCGCAGAAGGGGTCGAGATGATGAGACCAAGTTTCCCAATGTGACCGCTAGAGATTGGCCGCACCTATCACGGGCTTTCTTTTTCTGGAACTCAATTTATAGCCCCCAAGACAATTCATCCGCCACTTAACCGTTTGCTCAGCTGGCCTCGTGGACCTCCGAGACAGGCCCAGCCTTTTTTCACCGGTCTGGAGAATGGCGTAGATCCCCACGTCAGGCCTTGCATCGTGACCCTCCGATTCTTCGCCCTCCTTGCGTACCGTACCCTGCGCCTCGCCTTTTTCGACCACGACACGAGGGTTGGTAAAGAGGTGTGACATGGCGAGACCGTTGAGCGGCTAGTTTCCCCTGCGGTCGCCCGTCCTCGTCCACCTGG